CTCAACAAAAAAAAAAAAAAAAAAAAAAAAAAAAAGATAAAAAAAAAAAAGAACATAAGTCAGAACCTGAACATCTACACGAATAAACTGAAAAGAATGGGAATAATAAATTGAGGGAGATTGATGGTAACATTCTTCCTAATGTTTTTATTTGCATGAGAAAGCTCTCGCGTGACGTGATAATAGAGTGTCCCGGGCGACGATAAAGTTCGAGCCTCAATGATAAATTGCGAAACCGCCTTCGGTCTGTCTTCGTCGAATTGTTTTTCGCGCAAGGTGAAACAAAAAAAAAAACTGCGCTTTCTCTCTCTCTCTCTCGCAGGCGCACGTTAATCGAACGTGTCAACACACGTGTCCGGCTTCGCGTCGCGAATATAAGAAGAGAATATTTACACGACTTTTCCGCGTCCTCTCTCTCTCTCTCTCTCTTTCCTAACCGATCCATCCGCTTGACGTTTCTCTTTTTTCTCTCTCTCTCTCTCTCTCTCTCTCTTTCACCGTCGCGCGTCTTTCGAGTTTGCAAACCCGTATCTCGCGCTCCGCACAGTCTCACGACAAACTTCGTTAACGGATTTCACTCCGCTGGATTTTCACGATCCTCCTTGCACACCATCTCCGGCGCATCTCCGCCTCTTTGCAGCGCTCATCGCGCGCCTCTCCAATTGCCACTTTCTTCAGGAAATCGTTTTAAGTCGAGTGGGAGTCACCGACACGCGCATAAAACTCACGTCGAAGAAACGACGACGACGAGGAAGAGAAAACGAGAGCCCCGGGAGAAAGCCAGAGAGAGGAGAGGTAGCGGTGGCAGTGAGAAAAAAGAAAGGCGCGAAGAAAACGGAGGTAGGAGACAAGCCTTCTTCTCCTCGTGAGAGGAGAGGGAGGGAGGAGAAAGGGGGAGAGAGAGAGAGATGCTCGCGCAAGCTTCGCCGTCGTTAATATTACGATCCGCGTCTAAGGAAAAAGCGCCAAGTATAAAGGGCGGAAGGGCAGCCGAGCGAAGGGACGCGGAAAAATGGATTAACATTGAACCTTTCTCGCCTCTTGCCATATTGCCCCTCCGCGGAAGGCTTGGCCTCGTCTTTTGTCCTACTTCGACCGGTTCGCGCAAGTATCTCTCGCCCTCATCTTCTCCGATACTCGCGCGAGCCCCTATTAACCGCGTCCGCAGCCTTGGTCGGGAGGGGGGAGGGGGGATCCGAAGTTTGTTCAATTAGCTCGGCATCTACTTCGCTAGAGTAAATATCTCGGGAAAACTGCAAGACTCTGCGTCCGAGATACTCTCGCTCCGCCGAGCGCGCGGGAGGAGTTTGCGGGAGGGAGAGTCAAGTAGTTAGGCGAACGCGCGGAAGAACAAATTGCGCCAATTACTGGATCGTAAAATTTCGAGAACAACATTATTCCGAACGTTTATGAACGGGGGGGAGGGGGGGAGAAATTGCATCGAATTTTTGAAACGGTGACAAAATAAAGAGAAGCAGCGAAAATAAATTTATGTCTCACGTTCTTACTGATGAATTCTTGACGAATTAGCGAATTAGATTGTTTCTGCAACGTATCGATTTATAATTTATACATCGGATCAAATAATTGCGCAATTTTGCGAGTATCGTTAAATATATCGAAGCGGCAAAAGACAAATTGCACACACATTGAATTCCTGCCGCGGTTTTTAAATAGATTCGAACGATTAAAGTCGTCAAAGAAAAGATTATATTGAGCAAATAAAATTCCCGTTGCCTGTGAAAGAAAGGATATAAAAATAGATACGCGACACGTGAGTCGCGCGACGAGAGATGTAAATGTCGAAAGGATAAAAATGTTGCGGGGGGAAAACGCGCGCGATATCGAAGAACACGTGTTATTATCGCAAGTACATCCGATTCCGAGTTTTACGATTATGCAATTTATGCATTTCGTTCGTCGGCTCTATTTCGGATTATCTCGCAACGCAGTCGAATTGCTTTAACCCAATTCGGTTTTGCATTTACAAAAGAATATTGTTGGATAATATATAAACGTCGAACGTTTGTCAGACGCGCCGGTAACAGCATAAATGTGTAATATGCGCGCATGTCGAAATCGACATAATTCCTCGCACGTGCGTACGCATACAACTACTCAATTATTAATTCCTATATAAATTCATAATCGTGACATCACGCGTATTCCGAGCGAATTACCGTCGCTTTATCTGCATTACAATTACTTGTAATTCGCTCAAAATTGCACGTCCTTCGATTCGGAGCAGTTAAATTCATTCAGCAATGCGTGTGCGTACGCATGCGCGCGCGCGCGCGCGCGTGTGCGTGTGCGGGCAAAGCTTCCACGCTAACGTCATTTCAGTGCCAATTTCCAGAAACTTAATTTTCTGGAAAAACATCATTAAATATCGACAATGTTAACGCTGCCAACTGCCCGTGAGGGGCTTTAAATCTCTGAACTTTAAAATCATCGATTGATGACACGATGAATACACACACGCGCAGTATGAAAACTAGATGGACGTCGCCGTTGTTTTTATCAATTTTGTCGAAAAAATTCAAAAAAAGTATAGAGAAACCAAAAGCAAATAGAAATGATCGAGGTCATCAGAAAAAAAAAACAAAACTGCAACGTACGTTGTAAAAGTCGAAAAAATAAAAAAAAAAATAAAAAACAAAATGATAATATGGAACAGTACGTTTTTCGCGTCGCGTTGCGTTGCGTAATATATGTGTGCAAAAAGAACGAAGAGATGATCATTTATGTTTGTAATATAAATTAGTCGATGGAAATTTAAATGTGATGCAATTCGTTGAGGCGTGCGATATAGGTCACTGGTTCACGCAACACTGCGCGACGGTACCGTTTTTTTGTTTATTTATTTATTTCTTTTTTTTTTACGCTATCTGCAATTCGAAAATTCCACATGTTACATGCATACGTATTGCTGGAGGATTTCATAGATAATATTTTTTATATATAAAGCTTTGTGTGTAATAAATTATATAAAATTTTGTTTAAAAAAAAATGCAAAGTTTAATGAAAATTAATCCGAAAGACGAAGAAATAAATAACCGAAAATTCACGAATCACCGACGAGTTTTATCACGACGCGCGTCGTTGCTTGTTAATATGCGTTTTGCAATCCCTCTTGCAAACGAAGGAACAAATTGTAAGCGAACGAAATCATTAACTTCAATGTTGTTTTAAAAAAAAAAAACTACACGACTTTGCTGATCGCGAGATCTGTATTTTGATCGCGGACGCGTCGCAAGTGAACTCGTCGTAACGGGGGTCGTTGAATTATTTCCATTCTTTGCCGCGCTGCGTGCAACAATGCCTTTATGTGCCATAAAACCGACCGAACGAAGCGCGTTCCGTTAACCCACTCGGCCGACCTTCCGCCCTCGACCTGTGCCCTTCCTGTGCCACGGACCACTCGACCGCGGATCGAAGCGACGCTCTTCTGACGCCCCGATTTTACAATCCCCGCGACCGGAAGTGGAACGCCGGCGAATGTACAGGACCCGGGAGGGCGAATCGGGGGGGGGGGGGCTTCGGGTGCGGGGGATGAAAGCGAAACGGAAGAGAAGGGAGGATGGAGAGCGGTTGGATAGGCGTAGCCGGTGGACCGCGCGATAACCGGGAACGATTCTGTTTCGCTATCGACGCTAGAGACGAGCAACGAGCGACGTCGACTGTCGGGGTTTATCGACCGTCATTCCGCGACGCGGAGGACTTTACGGCAAAATACCGTGGAGTCTGCGGAATTTTTGACAGTGCCGCATCGGCCGGCCTGGATTCGATATGTGCAGCCCCACCAGTGCAACCCCCGACCGTCGTCGTCGTCGTCGATCCTGCGGCCTTTTACGGGCGACGAGTTCGTATATACGCGACGGGACGCGCAACGGTCGCCTGGAGAATCGTTCGTTTTACGATAGCCGTGCGCGCGAGGAGAGGATTCCCGCCTTTGACCCGATAGAATTTCTCCGGTTAACGAGGAAACGCGCGCGCGCGCGGAGCTCGTCGGTCGTGTAGAGACCGATCTAACGGAGAAAATCTAATTGCGGTTTTTCCGTAGCCTCTGAGAAATTTGCACATGTGAGTGTATAGAGACGAATCTTTTTTCTTTCTTTTTCTTTCTTTGCAAAACGCGCTTCGATCATCGGAACGGATCGATTTGGAAATTTTATTTGAGGACTTATTCGGTTGGTGGCACGTTCGTAGCGGCCGTTCCGTTTCGTTGAAGAACGAAACGAAATCAAAACGTTATAACCCTCTATGGGGCCGAATTTTTTTTCTTAAATATAACTTGCAGGGTATTTGTTTTGACACTTCAGGTTGATGGTGCTGCCAACCGTCATCAATATTGTTATTGGTTATTTCAGGAGGCAAAAACACTAAAACTATTTGGTAAAATGTGGATATATTAGCTTGTGACTTGAAAGTTACACGGGCCCATAGAGGGTTAATTGAAAACAACCCGCTATATATACGCGGGGTCATAAAAAAAAAAAAAAAAAAATAGCGCATACTTATTATTACTGAACAAAGACAAAAAGATTTAAACAACAAGCTTGTAAGTTAGAAAAACTTTCCGAACAATCTAACACGCGTATCAATTCTCTTTCTGTTTGTTATTTACATTTTGCTAAAAAAAAAAAAAAATGATAAAAAATATTTTGCACAAGAGCAAGGGGAGCATCCTGAGAGCTCTCTGTTCAAGAAGGCTACAAAATTCCTGTGTAATGTAACCAGCGACACGACGAACGTTTTTTTTTTCTTTTTTTTTTTTTGGATGCAAAAGCGCGTTGAATCGCCTGGATATGACGTTTCTGATTTCAGTGTCCGAGCCGGGTATGTGTCGCTTTCCAAATTGGCTAACCGGACACTCGAGCATCGGACTAACCTGGCACACTCTGGACCTCAGCAAATCCTACACGTTTCATCCGCGAAACGCCTCTCTGCACGTAGCCAGACCTAACGCGACATCGTCATCAGACTTCGAGAACGGACCCATGGATTTGCAACACATAGTCGGATCGGAGGATCAGGACGTGAAGATCCTCTGCAACAGCATAAAGCAGTCGAACAGCGCGCAGACGATGACAATGCTGATCGCGCATTTCACCGTCGGATGGTAGGATCGTCTCGCGTTTTTTTTTGTTTTTGTTTCTGAACGTTTTTTTCTTATATTTTGATTAATTAAAATTTATGTAAAAATTTAGAACAATTAACGGAGTTTGTCTCTCTCGAAAAAAATTTTTACAAGTTATTTATTTTTACAAGTTGTTCGCGAATCTCTGTTTGTTGGATCTCTATAAGTTGGAAAAATATATACGCCGTGAGAAGCGCGCGCACCCCCAACTGTGTGTGTGTGTGTGTGTGTGTTCGTCGTGAAATAAGAAAAGGTGCGCCGAAAAGAAAAAGTGAGAAAGATCAATTCGCACTTACGATATTTCAACGGCGATATTTTCCCGTAATTCTCGCTTATCTTTTCGGATACGGTGAACGAGCGCGATTAAAGCGCGACGGCGTATGTCGCCCTCCCCCCTCCCCCTCCCTCTCACCACCCGACAGTACACAGCGCCTTTTATGGATTCTCGCGCCCTTCTTTTTCCAGCCGGAGCGGTTTTATGTGCATGACATTCTACCGGAGAGACGGCCACGTGATCGAGCTGCAAACGGGAAGTGCGATATCTAGACCGGAAGAAGTATGCAACCCGCCCCATTTTCTGCAGCACAGTACGCCCTACCTCACCTTAGTCAGTGAGTACAATCCTCTCTTTTTTTTTTGTTTTTGTTTTTTTGTTTTTTTTTTCTTTTTCACTCTGTGTGTGCGGTCTGCGTCTTTCCATTTTCGCAATGTGTCCTCGCGAACAAGGCTGCGGCGTTGCCGCCGCCTATTATTACGTCACAGTGCCTTTTTTTTTGTTTTTTCAACATAAAGCTATATTGCAATCTCACGTCGAAATTGCCTTGACGTGGAAAATAACACGCGGCCGTGTCGTTTTTAATCTGCGAAAAGTTTTCTTTTCTTTGAATCCCCGCGAAAGGTTAAATGTACCGTAAAAAAAAATTAAAACAAAAAAAAGAAAACAAAACGTCACGCTACGTCATCCGAGATAAAATGTGATCTCGTGGTAGGTGGAAGCTGTTCGCAATATTATCTCCGATATCGAAGTTCTCGAACGGTCACAACGGTGAAAGGTCTATAAGTTGTCATTCTCCAAGACGGAATGTTAATGAAGCGATTGCCAAGCGCTATCGGATTAGTACAGCAGAGAGTTTGATTAATTTCATCGTCCCCTTTTGTTGGTATCGATCGAGCGAAGAGAGCTCTCGGCTGATCGACGACGCAATCGCTCGTTTCGCTTGATTTGCGTGGCCGTAAGGTTTTATTCGATTCACGTAAAGACGACCGCCGCAGCAGCAAACCACCTGCGGAGAGAGAGAAAGAGAGAGAGAGAGAGAGAGAGAGAGAGGGAGAGACTGTGAGCGAAGAGGAGAGGTAGTAGTAGTAGTAGAGAGAGGCAAAAAAGAGTTGCCAAGTAAAAACTAACCCGCACCGCCGATAAACCCGGGAAAACTTCAACTTCGTGGGGAAAAAGTTTTCGCGCGGCGTGGCACGAGGATTTAGTGCACCGGCACTGGGAGCCGGCTGGGATCGGCCGGAAAAGAAGCGGCGAGTTTAAGACGAAGAAAAGAAAAGGAGAGCGACGAAGAAGGATCGGGAGGAGGAGGAGGAGAGGAGAGGGGAGGAGGAAGAAACGCGAAGAGAAGCGAGAGAGAAAATCGGAAACTAGTCTGGGGGCTCGGACGATTTGTCAAAATCCCGCGAACGACTTATAAGTTACACAACCGTTCGTTGGCCGGCTGGAACTGGCTAAAGTCGTATCGTTCGTTCATTCTCGACCTGTGTCCCGACTTGTGTTCGCGTGTGCTCGCGCTCGTACACGTTCGCGCGATTCACCGCCGCGGCGGCGGCGGCGAGAGAAGCTCGAGAAATTCAATTTGCCGGGAACGCTTGCCAGGCGCGTCACGGAAACCCGTTGAACCTGACAACCTCGTGATTGAACAGCGTATTTTCTTATCATTTAGCGAAGGCGGCACACGGTCGTTTGCCGTTTGTCCCGAAGCGCGACCCGATTGCCTGGCTCGAGCTTCCCCCTGAGGTAGCAATCGTGTATCCGATATATAAAAAGCGACCGGCAATTATTGCACGACCGCGTCTCAACGGATTAATATTGGCTACGTGTCCGTGTAAGCGTATCGAGCTTGCGGATTTTCTCTCTTTCACTCTTTCTTTTTTTTTTTTTTTTTTTTTTTTTTTTTTTTTACCATTGACTCTCTCGGTGTGGTTGCTTCTGTTTTGCTCCCTTCCTCCTTCTGTTTCTCTCCTCCTCGCCGTTCTGAAAGCTGTGCTGAGCGGCATTTTTCTGGTTCACCCGTTATATTCGTCGGCTGATACGAATGCAGTCCGTGCCGTGCTGTATATATATATATTCCGGATCGAAGCTCGGCAAAATATCTTCGTCTCCACGTTTTCGTGCCGCGAAGAAGAAAGCTGCCAACCTCCGAAAGCTTCTCTTTCTTCCACCCGCATCCGCGCTTTCTCCAAACTACCGCCCCCCCTTTCCCCCTTTATACGTATCGCCTTTACTTTCTGTCCCACGTCTCATACCTCGCCATCTCTTCGGGATACGATCCGGTTCCCGGTGGGCCAGAGTTGTAATCCCACGGGAGTTATTGGATTCGGTTTGATCCACTGGTCGTTCGTCCGTTCCTCCCGCCCGCCGTTCCTCTTGTTCTCTTAGAGATCTCCTTCTTTTTCCATCTTTATCCTTCCCGGGATTCTCCCCGTACAGGAGGAAAGCTCGTATCGTCGTCAACGCCGCCCCCGTCGATCGGCGCGGAACGGAAAACTGCAATCCTCATTCGGCGACAAATGAGCTTTGAAGATTTTCGACGACGCGCGACGCTCGGAAATGAAGTCCGCGCCCCCGATATAACGGGACGGGAAATATCCTACCGCTGCTGCCGTTGTCGGTGACAATGTTAATATCGTTTGCAGCGACGCGCGATAAGAGAGAATCTCGCCTGATAGGAATCGCGATGAACGATAATCGTGGAAAATGGTTAGCTTACTTGCGCGATTTCGAGCGGGATAAATGAACGTGTATCTCACTAATGGAATATAAATTATCTCTCGCAAAGTGTGTTAATAACGCGCATCAGGCTTATTGGATTTTGAGATCATTGCTGGCAATTAACGTGCTGTAATAGCCACGTGTCATATATATATATATATATATATATACGTGCGTAAAAATTGAAACAAACCCGCTTAAATTATCGACGAACAACAACAACGTGACAAATAATAGAAACCGCGTCATTGTTTTTCGCGAAGTTTAAACGCACTTTCGCGCGCAGAAAAAACTGGAACTGCGCGATATCTCATTAATTCCACGCGTAAACTCTTACGAGGTTTTTTTTTTTTTTATTTTTCATTTGGAAAAAAAAGAGAAATTCTACTCTCTCTCTGGCGCGCAAAAGAAATTAATTAAATTTTCTTTCTGCCAAAGCCCAACCCCTAGACACTTTTATCATTTCCCGTAACGTTCGAGATTATTATTTCTTCGATTTTGTTCGGAAATCTATATCCGCGACGTTTCGCGACGCGGTGATTGAAATTTATTGGCGCGTGGCTTTCAAAGAAACTTACAAATAAATTACTTCTTAAATTAGGAATGAAATGTTCGACTTCTCGAGACTGCTTGTCTGTCTCGATACCTCTCTCGATCGACGTTATCCTTCCGCGGTTCTTTCATAATTCAACGGAAATATTGACTTCGATTTAATTCACTGCTCGTTCGCAGTTATCTCTCGTGGTTATATCCTTCTCGGGACTTCGGGTAAAGGTATAGGAGAGGGAAAGCACATCGCGAAAAGCTCAATCCGCCACTTTTGCAAGAAGCAAGGAGCTATTCTCCGGACTGAGTCACGTACGGATCTCTGGGGAGAGGGTAGAAACCAACGGCTATACGCGCGCGAAACGAAAGGATAGGTATTTATCATTCCACGCACGTGGCGCAACGTGAAATTTACAATTCAAATGTAAAAAAAAAAGAAGCGCCCTCTGGAGTTTCGTATTAAAGATTGCAATCGCGATCGCATAAACAGTGACGAGTAATACAGTGACGGCGATACGTGTATAATACAATATAATATACAATATATGTATATTTTATATATATATATATATATAAATATATATATATGTTATAAAACACAATGCGAGCTGTCGCGAGTCGAACGATTGAAATATTATCTTCAAATAGAGCGGCAAAGCAAAACGATCAAAAAATTCTGACTATGAGATCAACACGGCTATTATTGTGTCCAAAAACGCACGTATACGTGCATATCAGAATAAAATAACATTTTTTTCCGTTTTTTTCTTTTTTTTTTTTTTTTTATAAAACCGGAGCAAATTTTGGCTGAAAATTGCAGGGATAACAGCTGGTTTTCTCTATTGCATAACCACGTTCAATTAATTCTATATGTATATACACTCTCCCCGGCAGGTTTGCTCTGTTTTATCGTTCGACGGTGAATGAACGACAAGCGATCAGTGTATAAAAATTCATTTTGACCCTCTCACCATAGCAGTCAATATGCGGAACGATTGATCATTCATTCACGGGACGAAAGCTCTCCATCTTCCTTCTCTCTCTCTCTCTCTCTCTCTCCCTCTCGAATCCGAGCGAAGTTGTTTTTTTTTTCGCTCTACCATCTCGCCTTCATAAGCTATATAATGTCCGATGCCGCAATAAAGTAGACCATCTACGAGCTATCCATCTTTTTTCCCGCTACGCAAGATTCTCATTCCATTCTCCCCTTCTCCCCATCTCTCTCTCTCTCTCTCTCTTTCTCTTCTACCTCAACCGAGCTTTCCTCTAAACTTTTATGACCACTCACGGAGAGAATGGAGAACGACGATAGAGAACGACGACGGCGACATTGGTATTCCGTTGACGTTCGCGAATTACACCCCGAAGATAGACTCGCCGTTGCTGCGCACACCGAGAAATTTCCACGAGACAGTGCGAAGTTACGGGCTTTATAGCGACCGAGAGCCACGTAAATTGATCGCGAGAGTCTCTTGGATAAATGCTAGGCAATAGAGAGTGTTAAGCGATGAGAAACTCGCATTCGGACTCGAAATGGAAAAGCGACGTTTGTCAAGCGATGTTCGAGAAGACGAGCGTTCATTTTGAAAAAGACGAGAGAGTCACACACAAGTTCTGTAACATAACAATAACCGTTTCTGTTCTTGAACGCAATTTGTCCCGATAAAAAAAATATTTGCGCGTAATGTTTCATTCTGTAAGACAATAAAATTTTAGCTTGAAAACATTTTTTACTTGATCGAGCTAAAAAAATCAAGCAATCGCAATCGATTGAGCGAGAGAAGAAAGGCCACGATTGTCCGAGGAGAGATTCTGATAGAGAGTGGAAATTTCGATTCCGCGTGGTAAATGACCGGAGAAACTAAGTCGCGAACTGGGTTAGCGAAACCGCTGTAACGGACTCTGTAAGCGTACCTGAGACACCCGGCCATAACGAGCTGGAATCCCTGAGCAATTAAGCCACCAGGCGTTTCTCTAGCTCCGGCTTCTATCCCGCCACAACACCAGCCTGAGCCAGGTTACCAATGAGCTCCTCCGGCTGTAAATAAATAACCCAGACCATAATAACGCAGT